GGAAATACTCTCTTAAGTGCAAGAACAACCTCTCTCAAGAACAAAGCTGCTTCAACCTCAAGGACCTGATCCAAGATCGAAGATATCTTAAGTCCTTAGGTTTGTAGAGTCTTTGTTATTTGTTCTTCATTGTAACTCCTATCTAGCTTTCTTAGAAGCTGTTTTTAGGAAACTCAAAATCACAAACCCTCTAAGTTTGTGTCTTGGCTAGAGCTAGTCAAGTTGTAAAGTCTTTGTAACTAGAGAGTTACAAAGTGGCTTGTAATATTGTTATTACAAGTTAGAGTGAAAATCCTTTGTTACTGTAGAGTGACAAAGTGGCTTGTGGTGAGAGCATCACAAGTTAGTTAAATTCTTTGTAACTAGGGAGTCACAAAGTGGCTTGTGTAAAAGTACCACAAGTTAGTTGAATTCTTTGTAATAGAGTTATTACAAAGTGGCTTGTAATAGGGGTTTACAAGTTAGTGAAGTTGAAAGCCTACAAGTGTAGGTCGTGGTTTTCGTCCCCTTGATTTGGGATTTTTCCACGTAAAAATCTTTTGTGTTCTTTATTTTCCGCCGAGCTACTGTGGGAACAATTAGAGAACCTGATTCCCTATACTGGGTGGTTTTACAGTCTGTTGCTTACAATGGGAACTTATAGAGAATTCGGTTCTCTATACAGTGGGAACTTATCCTGTGTATCATTTACATACTTGTTCAGTAGTTAGTACTATACCAAACTGATATAGGACCAGATCGCTATATAGTTTGGTTTTTCAGTATCTTCAGAGGAAACACTTAGAGAACCCGATTCTCTATACAGTCTGGTGGACGCTTAGTTTCTATCAATTGGTATCAGAGCGGGTTCTTTCTAAAAGGTAAACACCTAGAAAGGATCTACATGGCTGCTCCACCAAACTTCGAGGAAACTCAATCAACCAATAGACCACAAAGATTTCAGAAGATGGGTTGCAAAAATGGTGGGATCCCAAAGAAAAGAAGTTCCAGCATGAATTCCAAAGGAAATGATGCTGTCATAAGTGTGGAAAGCCTGGACACTTTATCAAAGACTGCCCATTTCTGAATTAGGAGCATCACAAACAAAACTCTAACAAAGTAGCAAAAAGGAACCTGGTTCCTGACAAACGATTCAGCCGAAAAAGTGCAGCTGACAATGTTGTGAAGCAAGCTCTTGCTGCATGGGGAGACTTCTCCAGTGAATCGGAAGAGGAACCAGATGCAAGAAGCAGCTCCATGATGGCAATGCAAAATGAAGATGATTCATTGTTTGCATTGATGGCTCGGTCCGATGAGGATAAAGAGAATGACAATGATGAGGTAAATTTCAGGGATGTTCAGAGAAATCTGAAGTCCTACTCTTCAAAGAAATTGATGTCATTAGCAAATGTTCTAATTGATAATATTATAGTTTTGTTAATGATAATGATTTCCTAATCATAAAGCTAGGAGATGCCGAGCAATCTAGAGATGATTTGATGGTAGTGGTTGTTGACTTGAAGAAAACCATAGAGAACCTTAGCAAAGAGAAGAATACTCTAGTAGAGAAAATTGCTGCTACGGAGCAAGAAAGGGATGACATGGTAGTTTCCTTTGATGATTTAAGGGAAAAAATGGAAGAAGTAACTAGAGAACACAACTTGTTGAAAAAACAAACAAACAAATGGATGGACAACACTGAGGGAGAGGAAGTGGTTAGAAAGGCTCAACTTGAGCTTGAGAGTGAGCTTAAGAAAATTGAAACAAGTGTTGTTGCTGAGCTTGAAAAGAATATACAACTTCAGGAGGATTTAAAAAGGGTTAAAAATAATCTTGATAAGTCACTAAAATGGACCCGGTCCTCTGATGTGATAACGTCTATATACAGGGGTAATGGTGGAAACAGGCAAGGCATCGGGTTCCCAAAGGCTAAAACCTCCTATAATCACCATAGGAAGTATGTAACTGTGGCTGATAATAGGTTGTGCACTCACTGTGGTCAAACTGGTCATTACAAGGACTCTTGTAAAGTTAAAATTGAGTCTTTACAAAAAAATAGAGTTTTTGTTGAAAAGAGGCGTACTGATGAGGAACCTGGTTCCCAGAAAAGAAAATATGTGCTGCCTGCATGGGCAAAAAGAAGTTTGATCCGCCCGTTCTATCATTATAAGGGACCCAAGCTGGCTTGGGTTCCTAAGTCTAATCATTGACTTAAGTGTGCAGAAGTGAAAGGGAGCAGTCAAACAGTGGCACATGGATAGCGACTGCTCGAAGCTCATAACTGGAAGAACAAATGATTTCCTTTCACTGAAGGCCCTGCAAGGAGGGAGTGTATCCTTTGAAAATGGCAAGAAGGGATACATTTAGGAGTTGGAAGGATCGGGAATAGTATGATACCATTGAACAGTAGAGTACCTGGTCCTCTAAGAGATTCTGATGGGTATATCCCAAATCTGTGACAAGAGGATCTTGGCTGTCTGAGTGCTGTTAATGATAATGCTGAGCTATGGCACAGAAGTCTCGGTCATGTCAGTTTTACACTGCTGAACAAATGAGTCAAGAAGGACCTGGTTCGTGGTCTGCTCAAGTCAAGCTTCAAGGATCACAGGGTGCGTGATGCATGTGTAAGAGGAAAGCAAGTCAGATCCTCTTTCAAGACCAAAAAGGAAGTTAGCATCTCAAGGCCACTTGATCTTCTCCATATGGATCTATGTAGACCTATGAGGATGCCAAGTAAAGGAGGAAAGAGAACTGAAGATGAGACTCCAGCCGACATAGAGGAACCTGGTCCCCTAATCACAATATCTGAAGCAGAAACAAAGTTGTGGATGCTGTACATGGAACTCCAGTTGTTGAGGAATTCAAACCAGATCAAAGAAAAGAAACTCACTTGCCTTCTCAGCCTTTATCTCTCAAATAGAGCCTAAAGAACATCAAGGAAGCATTGAAAGATGCAGACTGGATTACAGCTGTGCAAGAAGAGCTGCGTCAACTTGAGAGGAACAGTATGTGGAACCTGGTTCCACGACCTGCTGACAGAACTGCTATGGAAGCCAGGCTCCCCGTGCTTAGTGTGAAACAAATCTTCTGGAGTTGGGGTTGATCAAGCTCAACTAAGGACCTGGTCCCTCGATGATTGGCTATGTTAAGAAGGAAAGGAACAAAATGCTAAAAAGTGTTTTTCGGCGACATCTAACTCAAATCTATACTGTTGTAGGTATACACATATGGTAGTCTCAGGACAAAAACAAGTAAGAGTGACATTGCACTTCTAGGAGTCTTTGCTAAAAAATTTCAAAAAAAAAAACCGTCACGGAACCTGGTTCCTGTGACTCAGGTTAGTAGTCTCTTCAATACTTATACGCCCTTTTAAGCTGCTGAAGTGTCATGTCATTGATTTGTTTCTGCCTTTTTCCTGCCTCTCCTCCTAACTTTTGAAGTCCAAAATGTTAAACCTTTTCTGAACCGACCCGTTGCCCCAAAAAGGAACTTCTCTATCTTACACCCAAATAAAATCGATTCTTTTCTTACCAGAATCAATCTCAAAGTAATCCTTCTTTCCAAATATGCCAGAAGTGAACCAACTCTCTCACTCTCCAAAAACCTAACTCCATCAGAATCAAAACCCCAAGAAGTCTTTGGTAGATTTTGATGGAAGTTTAACTGAAAGGGAACAGGGTAGATCTATTAGTCTAGAGTGTGAGGCTGAAGTTGTGGTTGGATTTGTGGAAGTCTTGAAGGATGGAGAAATTGGTAAATGTGAGGACTGAATGAGGAACCTGATCCCTCAAGTCCTTCTCATGAAGTCAATTTTAATGATGATCTTTTTCTCTTTGAGTTCTGTGTATAAACGAACCTCTGATCCAGTAAAAAGGATGGAGAAAAGCAGGCTGATTAATGATGAAGTGGTGTACCCTGCTGATGTGGTGATTGTGGAAGAGAGGATGAAGTGGAAGAATCTCCATTTGTGAAAAAAAATGGAGAAAAGAAAATTGGCTGAGAAAGATGCAACAGATGATAAGGGTGAATAGATTGAGAAGAGAAAGAGGGAGACATGGCAGCTCAGGGATAGAAAGGGTAGTGTAAGTGAAGAACGTGGTTCCATACAAAAGCAAAAGGTTGAGCCATTAGGTTTGGAGGGAAAAGACGTTGATGTCTCAAAAAGTGCTGTAAGGCAGAGTGTTGACTCTGCTATTGCTGGAAAAAAAAATGGAGGAACTTCTTGACATTGTTGAGTTCCAAAAAATAGAATCACCTCTTTGTTCCTCCAAGACCCAATGTTTATGAAGAAGAAGTAAAAAGTTCTATGCTTTATGTGACAATCTGATGCTATATGTGCATGGGACTGAGTTTGTTCTTGATGAGAAGAAGCTTGGGGAGCTTCTTGGTGATCTGATTGATGGTTCAACCTACTCAGACAGGTTGAGCACCAGGTCCTCGAGGACCCTTGGCAGAATAGAATGCTAAGTTGAAGGTGAGAATGAATGAAAGATTGAGGAAACAGGTGGAGGAAACGAACGAATGGACATGCTCATCAAGGCCTTAGCCCCTTACTTCCCTACTGCCCAGTGATCCATGTCTTTCACACTTCCAAATTCCCTTGAATTCTTATCCTCTTTTGATCCATATATTTGATGACATTGGTACTTCAGTGGTTTAAATTGCCATATTATGTATTGTTGAAACTACTGTGCTTTTATTATCATTACTTCACTATGGGCAAACACTCTATGTTGTGCACTGACATTCACTTGTTGTTCTTGTTATTATTTATGCTGTGTTGCCCAAGTGGCCTGAGTTAATGTTGCTGAACTTCTTTTTGGTAGTACTTCTTCTGTTATTCTTTTCGATGATGCCAAAAGGGGGAAGTTATATAGGTGTCAACATGGGAGGAACAAAATTGAATGCTGTGCATGAAAGATGGATCTACTTCGCAGGGGGAACATTGCTGATAATGCAGATTGAATGCTGTGCATGAAAGATTGATCTGCTTCGCATGTTGACACCTCAAGAGATAGCTCTGCTTCGCAGGGGGAACGTTGCTGATAATATGTTGATTATAAGTCCGATCCGCAGGAAACATGTGAGGAATCTGGTTCTCAAGAGGAATATTAGTTCTGGGTTTGTCATCATCAAAAAGGGGGAAATTGATAAGTTATGGAACTTTGAGTTTTGATGATTTGCCAAACAGTCTTGAGGAACCAGTTGTGATTGGATCCTTAGGTACGGTTTTCATGGGGAATATGGCTGATTCGTAGGGGGAACAATATGGAGATCTGGTTCTCAGGGGGGGTATCAATTCTAAGTTTGTCGTAATCAAAAAGGGGGAAATTGATAGGTTACAAGTACCTTGGGCACAAGTACTTTACTTTATGTTTTGATGATCTAACAAACTTACCATTCAGAACCAGATAAGGAACCTGTTACACCTCTACAAGACCTTGAGATCACAAAGTTCCAGGTTGGGATGCAGCCCTAGGGAAAGCAATGTGAATGCTATTACTGAATCAAAAGACCTGCAGGAGCTGACCATAGAAGAGCTGGTTGGAAATCTGAAGACCTACGAGATGAAGAGGAAGATAGACAGTGAAAGAAGAGAACCAAAGAAAGAAAAGAACCTGGTACTCAAAGCTGATAGCAATGACTCAAGTGAGGAAGAGTAGAACGAACAACTGAGGGAACAGGTCCCTACCAGTTCCCGAAAAGACTGTATGAAGTTAACTCTCCAGTAGGAAAGTTGCTGCCTGCACACACTACTGCACAGGAACAGCGCAACAGTCAACTTTCTGTGGAAGGCTCTTTACCTACCTTGCTTACATCATTGTAAGTGATGTCACAAATATATAAACACAATCAAGGAAGGTAAAAATACCTTACTTCATGAGAGAACCAGATGAAGGACCTGAAGAATGCCTGGTACAATCATTCAAGTTAATCGACTCAAGATAATATGGGCAGTGTGTCTTTAGATTCATAGGAACCAGATTAGGTACCTGATACCTTGGTGTTCCCCTCACAGAAGAATAAGTCAACAGTACAGCTGGAAAGCAACTGCAGAAAGTGACTGCCTACAGCTATACATGCAACAGTTCTGCAGACAGTGCAACAGTCACTTCCCATTGAGAAGGGGCATGTACTAATCAAGATTGGACATCACCATTGCGAATTGACATCACTAAGGTGATGTCTTTTGTAATATAAACCTGGTGCAAGACACAAGGCCTCTTACTAAGACTTGCAAAACAGTCTTGAGGAACTAGTTGTGATTGGCTCCTTAGGTACGGTTTTCATGGGGAATATGGCTGATTCGTAGGGGGAACAATATGGAGATCTGGTTCTCAGCTGGAAAGCAACTGCAGAANACTACGTAGGACCCTTTGGAGTTTCCCCGTTACGGGGGAACCAAGAAAGTTAGGAAAGGTATACCTAGGGTTACCTACGACGCGTAAGGAAACGACCAACGTCGACGAAGAAAGTCGACGTCGACCTACGACTATACATGCAACAGTTCTGCAGACAGTGCAACAGTCACTTCCCATTGAGAAGGGGCATGTACTAATCAAGATTGGACATCACCATTGTGAATTGACATCACTAAGGTGATGTCTTTTGTAATATAAACCTGGTGCAAGACACAAGGCCTCTTACTAAGACTTGCAAAATCAGAAACGGAAATACTCTCTCAAGTGCAAGAACAACCTCTCTCAAGAACAAAGCTGCTTCAACCTCAAGGACCTGATCCAAGATCGAAGATATCTTAAGTCATTAGGTTTGTTAAATCTTTGTTATTTGTTCTTCATTGTAACTCCTATCTAGCTTTCTTAGAAGCTATTTTTAGGAAACTCAAAATCACAAACCCTCTAAGTTTGTGTCTTGGCTAGAGCTAGTGAAGTTGTAAAGTCTTTGTAACTAGAGAGTTACAAAGTAGCTTGTAATAGTGTTATTACAAGTTAGAGTGAAAATCCTTTGTTACTGTAGAGTGACAAAGTGGCTTGTGGTGAGAGCATCACAAGTTAGTTAAATTCTTTGTAACTAGGGAGTCACAAAGTGGCTTGAGGGAAGAGTACCACAAGTTAGTTGAATTCTTTGTTATAGAGTTATTACAAAGTGGCTTGTAATAGGGGTTTACAAGTTAGTAAAGTTGAAAGCCTACAAGTGTAGGTCGTGGTTTATGTCCCCTTGAGTTGGGATTTTTCNCTCCACCAAACTTTGAGGAAAGTCAATCAACCAATAGACCACAAAGATTTCAGAAGATGGGTCGCAAAAATGGTGGGATCCCAAAGAAAAGAAGTTCCAGCATGAATTCCAAAGGAAATGATTGCTGTCATAAGTGTCGAAAGCCTGGACACTTCATCAAAGACTACCCATTTCTGAAACAAGAGCATCACAAACACAACTCTGACAAAGTAGCAAAAAGGAACCTGGTTCCTGACAAACGATTCAGCCAAAAAAGTGCAGCTGACAATGTTGTGAAGCAAGCTCTTGCTGCATGGGGAGACTTCTCCAGTGAATCAGAAGAGGAACCAGATGCAGGAAGCAGCTCCATGATGGCAATGCAAAATGAAGATGATTCATTCTTTGCATTGATGGCTCGGTCCGATGAGGATGAAGAGGATGACAATGATGAGGTAAATTTCAGGGATGTTCAGAGAAATTTGAAGTCCTACTCTTCAAAGAAATTGATGTCATTAGCAAATGTTCTAATTGATACATATTATAGTTTTGTTAATGATAATGATTCCCTAATCATAGAGCTAGGAGATGCCGAACAATCTAGAGATGATTTGATGGTAGTGGTTGTTGACTTGAAGAAAACCATATAGAACCTTAGCAAAGAGAAGAATACTCTAGTAGAGAAAATTGCTGGTACGGAGCAAGAAAGGGATGACATGGTAGTTTCCTTTGATGATTTAAGGGAAAAAATGGAAGAAGTAACTAGAGAACACAACTTGTTGAAAAAACAAACAAACAAATGGATGGACAACACTGAGGGAGAGGAAGTGGTTAGAAAGGCTCAACTTGAGCTTGAGAGTGAGCTTAAGAAAATTAAAACAAGTCTTGTTGCTGAGCTTGAAAAGAATATACAACTTCAGGAGGATTTAAAAAGGGTTAAAAATAATCTTGATAAGTCACTAAAATGGACCCGGTCCTCTGATGTGATAACGTCTTTATACAGGGGTGGTGGAAACAGGCAAGGCATCGGGTTCCCAAAGGCTAAAACCTCCTATAATCACCATAGGAAGTATGTAACTGTGGCTGATAATAGGTTGTGCACTCACTGTGGTCAAACTGGTCATTACAAGGACTCTTGTAAAGTTAAAATTGAGTCTTTACAAAAAAACAGAGTTTTTGTTGAAAAGAGGCATACTGATGAGGAACCTGGTTCCCAGAAAAGAAAATATGTGCTGCCTGCATGGGCAAAAAGAAGTTTGATCCGCCCGTTCTATCATTATAAGGGTTTTACAGTCTGTTGCTTACAGTGGGAACTTATAGAGAATCCGGTTCTCTATACAGTGGGAACTTATCCTGTGTATCATTTACATACTTGTTCAGTAGTTAGCACTATACCAAACTGATATAGGACCAGATCGCTATAGAGTTTGGTTCTTCTGTATCTTCAGAGGAAACACATAGAGAACCCGGTTCTCTATACAGTCTGGTGGACGCTTAGTTTCTAACAGTATTGAATTACTATCTTGACTAATCAACCACCAAGCGACCTTAGAAATTGGGATCCCATCCAAATTGGCCATAGGGGCTCTTCTTTGTCCCACATTCTATTCGTAGATAACATAACTCTTATGGGAAAAGCTAATAAGAAAACAAGCCTTTGCATATAAAGATGTATAGACTTCTTCACTATGGAATCTGGTCTCGCTATAAACAAAGCTAAATCAAGAATTGTCATTCCAACAAATTGCTCAAAAGATCAATCAAACTTCCTAACATCTCTTTTTGGTATAAAATCTACCAATGATTTTGGAAAATACTTTGGTTTTCCAATCCTTAACAAAAACCCTAAAGCCAAAGACTTCCAATTCATCTTGGACAAGTTACATTCCAAACTATCCCATTGGAGATGCTCTTTTCTTAATATGGCTGGTCGTACCACATTAGCAACTAGTACTCTAGGGGCAATTCCTTCCCATTTAATGCAATACACTCTTCTTCCACCCAAAACCCTAAAATCCATTGATGAAATCCAAAGAGACTTTATTTGGGGCTC